ACCCCTTTTCCTATAGGTTTAGCAATAGGTCGAAAGAAAAGTATTTTCGCAGTGCAGTTCCTCTAACAGTCAGATAGAGTTCTTATGTGGAACGGGTCCACTCCTTGGTCGATGAGCGCTGATAGGATTGCATTCGTATCGACACTGTCAAACGCTTTTTCATAGTCGACAAGGGTTAGGAATAGAGGTAGATGGTATTCCCGACAAGCTCCGATGACCCTTGACACAGTTTGGATGTGGTCCTTGCAACGAAATCTCCGTAGAAATCTTACTTGCTCAACAGATCGTGTTCCACATAATGTCCTCGTTGTATACAGCTACACTTTTCCTCGTGGTCGATGAAGAGAGTTCTTTTCCAGCTTCCGGCTAAATCGAATATTCGAGCAAAGAAGGCGGTGATCGGATCCAGTACAGAATAACGGGACTACCGATGTGTCAAGTAGGCACCATCTTCTGTTTGTCAGAATATGGTCGATCTCCGCATGAATCATGCCGTTGGGAGACTCCCATGTCCAGCGGCGTCTTTCTTTCTTCTAGAAGAACTAGTTTCCATGGAAGAGACGTGACAGACAGGAGTCCTGCGAGACGGTTCCCATTCTCACTTCTTTGTCCTAATCCAAGAATTTCCGATCCTCCATTCGCTCTCGTTCTTTTCTATTCTGGCATTGAAGTCTCCAAAAACAAATTTTTGATATGCTTTATCATTGGGGATGGCTTCCTCTAATTGATAGTAGAACGCATTTAATTCGTACTCATCAGTTGCATCCGTCGGTGAGTAGCAGTTGATGAGAGTGATCTTCTTATGATGCGACAGTTGTAGAGGGAGAACGGCTCTGCGAAGGGAAAGGATCACGTATGAGTGGACGAGATGGACGATGGAGGGGTGGACGACAAAGGCTGCACCGCCGTCATTTCGTGACGGGACCTTTTCTCCACGGTTCACAAGGGTCCCGCTGTTTAGTTAACTTATGACTATCTTCTTGGTTTTTGTTTCTCGTAATGCGATCACATGAAATTTGGTGCGATTTGCGGCTATAGGAAGGACGTGAACATCAGCGTCTGTGGAGAGTGTTTTGGCATTATATGTGCAGGGTAAGAAATAATCTCCATGGCGTGTTATGCGTGTGGCCGTCGGATCCGGTTCCAATGACGTCCTGCGTAACCGGAGATTTTCTGGCCTCTCACCGGTCGTCTCATCACCTGACGTCATAGACGGGAGCACCCAGTGTGTAGGATACTGAGGCCGGCTTGTTGCTGGTCGTGAAACGTGGTCCTCCCTGGAGTCCCGATGTAATCTTGTAAGGGCGTATCCAGGTCTTCACCACGATGTGGATCAGTGGGAGGTGTATTTTCGGCGACGAATCCTTCGCTCCGTCTTTTTACTAGGTGTTTCGGAGAGATGTTAAAACCGAAATCAGAAACAAAAGTAGGAATGTAAAGGTAACCGACAGCTCATGGACGATGAATCGGATATGCAGAAAAAAAACTACAAGTCGGTGGAATAGGAAAAGGAACCCATAAAACCTAAGCCACTTAATGAAATTAATTTCCATGTGTTAATGTCTGGAACAGCTGTCGCTGAATTATGACTGTGTTGAAATTCTTGAAAGGAAACTTGTGAAATTTGCCGTTTTGACGCTTCAATTATTTTTTTTTTTGATACCGCAAAGGTTACGGTTATACCAAAACACTACTCTGTTACAGACGAAAACCACTGATACTACTATTTGCATAGAATGAATTTTTATGTGAGTATCGACACTCTCCGTTAAGCTGTTTGTGATAACTTTAATGATGCTGAGATATTGCAAAATTCCGGACTGCAGGTATCGGCGGTGGGGAACGAACGCGCTATTGTCCTTTCCGGGGAGTAGCGCGTTCACCACCACACCAGGAGGGTCCTTCTTTTCGCCTGTCTCTCAGAAAAACATCGATGGAAACACCTACGGTCCGGAGTTTTGCAAATATCTCAGCACCATTAAAGTTACATTTCGCAACATACCCTGCCATTAAAAAGATTAGGCAGTAAATATTAAGTTAAAATTGTGATTATAACTACAGCCTCAGCTTAACTGGGTTCAATGTCGATTTGGGCTCCCCAGATCAATCATGCTGACGGGTGACTGCTGATGGCTAAAAGATCGATAGAACCAGCTGAGAGACAGGTGAAACGAAGGGCCCGCGTGGTGAGGTGGTGAACGCGTTACTCCCCGGAAAGGACAATAGCGCGTTCGTTCCCCACCGTATATACCGGTAGTCCAGAGTTCTGCAAATTTCTCAGCATCATTAAAGTTATATTTCGTAATATATACCCTGCCGTTAAAAAGAGCAGGTAGTAAAAAATAAGTTAAAACTATTTATGATAGTTTGGGTGACACTATACGAATAGAAATTTTGTCAACTCTAAATTTAACTAGAACACGGATCTCTCAAACCACATCAAACTTTGCTGGTTGAAATAGAAACAGCTAAAAGGCGGGAATCTTTGCCAATAATGCAACTTACTTTATTGGGCAATGATGGAGCAAAGAACGTTACAAATAACTTTAGAACGATAGGATGAAGTCTATTTCATACATTTATCAGCTTCCCAACTCACTTTAGCAGCTATCAAAAAATTCGATAGCGATGGCCAGTCAGTTATAAGGAAATTATAACCATATTAGCTTTAAATACTTCCACTACTATCGAGCATATGTGTTGATGAATAACGAATCTGTGAAAGCGATACTGAAGGAAAGCGGAACGATGACCGAAACACCGTGGAAACAGTGCATATTTGACGTAAGTATAATTGGTTGACTAGCCAACTTTTTAAAGAATAGCTCTAGTAGTGCACTAAGTAAAGTGGAAACTTAAGCCAATGGACACTTTACTCATTAGAAAATTTATTAGTGCTCTGCTGTGGAGAAAAAAGTGATGGAAGAAGACTTTTACAACAGATAACATCATGCATAATACTCTATGTACATCCTTTAAATCTAAAGGCAACTGTGAAATCTGAGAAAGCTGAAGCTGGATTTGAAGCTTATCAAGGAAAGAATACATTTGATTAATAATACCGAGGTTAAAGAAAAGTTGGTTTTGAAATGTGAAATCTGAATCCAAAGATGACTTCTATGACGATTTCGAAATTAAGAAACTAAAAGCAAGCTTCCTTGTTGAAGATTTGAAGCTTCCTATGCGTACGGTGTGTGGGGTTATTGTGGGGCCTGGTGGCGGCTACATGATGTATAGGTAGTGGAACACTACGCATGTTACTGTGACTAAAGTCGTTGAATAATTTGCTTATAAAAGATCTATCAATACATCCGGCTGTGATTTGTCTCGTTTTCTCTACGAGAACATGGACGAAGTGGATCGTGGGACGAAAATTAAGATAGAACTTAGCTAGAATGGAAAAAAAAAATATGAAGACTCGTTCCCTCCAGAGAGGACGTCAGCACTCAAAGGCAGAACTATGGGACTTTCCTGAGTTTTACACTTTTAAACTCGTAGAAGTGCAATTAAGGACGTGATCTATTCAAAACTTTTGTTTACTTCATGTTATCGAAAAATTACTGTGGTGCGAAAAGCTAGAATGAGAATCTTAAGATTACTAGGAAAAACGATTACTGAAAGTTATAAGTTGGAGACAGAAAAAAGTAAAAATAGAAGTAAAGAAGAGGTAGAGAGAGAGAGGGAGAGAGAGACAGAGAAAGAAAAGAAAGGAAAGGTTGAAAGAAAAGCCTCTTTTCAGCTTTGCAGTGAGCTAGCTGGAAAGATTTCCAGCGTCTACAAATCCGGATTGTATTGTGGTGCCACGAAAGTAGAAAACTTCTACATTAATGTCAAGGCTGGAATTGTTAGACTATATAAAATTTGCTTCACTGCATTTGACTTTCTCATTTACATAAATATGTGGGGTTGGGTATGATGTTTGAGATCGTCACTTCAGCAACACGAGTCAAATGATCGAATCGAACTTGTTTTGCCTGAAAGAAAAGACTTGGCACTATTAACATGAATTTTGATAGAAAACATTTTAGCTTTGTTGAAAGTTGCCGTGAGGAATTACTGGGTACCGTAACCTCATGTCTTATCACGCAATCGTACATGTTCTACTAGCTTTTCTTCACTTTCATTCCTAACTACTTAGTTAGAGACCTGGACGGCCCGTGCCCACTGGGTGGCAGGCCCGCATCACAATATCCATTTTTCAGAGTCTTGGTTGCTTAGCTATTGTGTTTCCCTAGAGCCCCGAGATCAGCCTGGTCAAGGTATGTCCCAGGTCGTCATCAGGACCAGGCAGTCGCAGCCTTTGTGGATCAGAGAGGGAGATTTCCCACCATTCGACTAGTTTAATACCAAGACAGTGGTCGATTCTGGTATTGGTTTACTCTCAGCTAGGCTTCCTAATAGAAAAGCAGGACTCCTTCTCAGCTTGGAAGACCTCGGCGGGGGGATGAGTCTCCTCGCTGAGTATCGCAGTCCGGCACCCAGCAACTCCTCCCAGGCACGATGAGGCACTAAACCGTTGGGAGGGACTTATTCACAGTACCAAAAGACATAATAATAGAGCTGAATGTGAAGCAAGGTGGGATTGTGGGCGGGTTGGTCTTTTCGACGAACTTCAGAATCAAAAACAGATGCTTAAGGCGTACTGCGTACCCGTCCCTTTGAGATAATTTTTCGTGCAGAGCTCATTGTTGTGGATCTTGTACGTCTTTGGCCAATAATAATCCCGGAAAATGTCGAACACTAACAGGAGTCTTCTGCTACCTGGTAATCATGCTGTTATCGTCGACGCTGGGGCATTGATGTGTTTCGTCGACATCTCATTTCGATCTCTTTCAAAACGTTATTATAACTCAAAACGTTTGGGAATTTGTTAAGCAAAAATCTGCCCATACTGCCCATTTTCTCTGCTCATAAGCGAGTTTCGCCATAAGACATTCGTACATCCTGAAGCGGATCTCGCTGATGTTCAGAGACATGAGCAACTCTGTGTATCCTAAAGGATGCAAAGTCCTAAGAAGTGTGAGTTGCTTGATAGTATGCCTGCTTATGACACTTCTACTGTTGATGCCAAAATAATGTATGAAAACTGTCTCTCTCACGACTGCTTCACAATTGCTAGAGGTATACCTTAAGGAGCAATCAAGAAGGGAGCCTTCTCCGTACCTCGTGAGTATTATCGCGAGGCATGTGTTGTTGATAGGCAAGTAAAATGACCCCACGGTTCGTACAACATTTGAACTGTAACAGAACTATTGAGGGTGATATTGCTGCTGTTCAGTTGTTGCCTTAAAATGATTGCGCAGTTTCTGAAAAAAATATAACAATAATGGAAAGAAACTGGCGGCCTGTGTTCTGATGCGTAGCCAATTGTAGAACGCTTGTCGTCATCTGCTTTGTCCGAGCAATCGCCTAATCCTCCCGATAAAGGAATCCCGATAAAAACTGAACAGGCTGACATTCTGGAGAATAGCGTATTGTGGTAAGCCCTGATCAATGGCCACGTGTTAATTCTCATCCACTTGGACACTATTTGGGGCCACTTGGAAAAATTGGCGCTCGGGAGATTGAAAATGGAGCACTTTTCTTAGAACATAACAATCCACATGGGTCATTTACGGAATCTGTTCTTGACTGTTTGCCAGATCAGAATTTGGAACCGAATTTGCAATCCCCTCAAGTTGTTATATGCAAATCTGAAGTAGAGTAGTGGCCAGAGATCGAGAACAAGAGCTTCTATCTTAGACATAAACACAATGGCAAAGCTTGGTGCCAGTCGCTGTCCCATTGCCAACCCCCTTATTTGCGCGAAATATTTCCCAGACCATCTGAAAATCGAGCAGTTTAGGCACTCCTTTGAGAGAGCCATTAGTCCCTGAATGGACAAGCCATACATATTTATTCCTGTTCAATGTTCAACAAAAAGTTCGGGAATGGCTTGCATTGCGGGGTCATTCGATACGTTGGTGTACAGCGTGCAAACGTCGAACGACTCCACCACGTACGTGTTATTAGGGTACGCGTTACGTAGACGTTCTAGAAAAATTTCTGTTTTCGTGAGGTTAGCCGGAATGTGGTTGAGCAAATGGGTAAGTGTTAGGCTTAGAAACCAGGTTATTCTATCCGTTGGCCCGTCTACACAGCTGATAATAGGTCTAACCTTACATGATAACGGATTGGTTGGGGCAAGATCATCAGTTGATACCAGCTTATGTGTTTTAATAAGTAGGCATAAGATGCGACATATTGGTCCATTGGTTTTAAAGTGCGAAATAACCGATAGTTTATGCCTGAAGCCCTTGCCACAATGAGCCACTGATTATTTAGTTTTCGGTATTGACTTTTGTATTCCTTTTCAGAGGATGGGCGATAAAGGGTAACATCACTAAGATGTTGCTCTGTTATCTTAACATTTAACTGGTGAGGAATAACTACCTTACCCTCTCCCTCTTATCGTTAACTGATTGCCTAATGATCTTTGAATGTATTAATTCTCTATTACCACATTTTTGTGCGGTCCTAAGGTTAGAGATAAACTTTCTATCGCGGTAGTGATCAAGGGTCTTGAGAACGCCGTCCGAAAACGCGTGGAATTTTATGTCAACTCCATCGTTAGGGTCCTGCTGTCTAAAAAACGTTTTTGGGAAAGGAGATGGTGGTAGTGTCGCCGCCTCTTGATTTTTATCTCTATTTGATGTTTCTTGCTTGGCCTGATAGCGGAGTCGAACTTGAAGCTCATAAAGGTTGCATGCTATCCTACGCAGCATCGTTTTAGAAATAGACTGTGATGGTGCAAAACTTGGGTCCTATTCTAATAGCTAAAGCGCACTCTCAGGTATTGTTATGCCCCAATCACGGTGACCCTAGTGACCCTAGATTTTCTTGGTGCATTATCGACCCTATTTTGACTATTATCAAAAGCGCAAAAAATTTGTTTGCGGTTGTTTCTTAAAGCTGAGATATATGAACTATTCAAAAGATTTTCGAATTTTCGTTGTAAGGTTATTTTGGCATTAGACCTAATAAAATCGCATATCAATATTGACCCACCAGCTATCCTCCTCCAAAGGCGATCCTCCAAATACAAAGCACAAAAATGTGCCTTCGTCGCACACTTCTTTATTCTGGCAAACATCTCGTCCTGCTTGCTTCGCAGTGCAGCTCGAAGTAGCTCTATTTCGATGCGTCGTACTGGTTGGCTGTCCTCTGGTTGACCGCATATCTCGTGAAGTCGCTTTTGTTTTATAAACTTCGGCACGACTCGATGTTGAAAACAGCGGCGGAGAAAGTTGATTTGCTGTCTAGCTAAGACAATATTCTGTCTTAGTGACAATGCCTTCGCAAGACGAAAGCATTTTGCTGGTACATCTTGTAACAGTTCCCAGGGTCGACTTTCTATTAGCTTCGGCGTTGGAATATGAATGCGTCGTTTTCTTGTTCAGCAATCGCGAGGTTGCTAAACAGCAGACATTTACTTCCGTAGAAAAACACAAAACAATACAACAGTAGTTGACGTTTCGACAATATCGCCTTCTGCTAGCCTGGAAGGGTACACTGATATGCAATCTACTTCTATTCTATGGTAATCTAATCTACTAAACCAAACGCTTCAATAACTACCTCAAGTTGATTTGTGGTATTTTACAGCTTGTGGATCCACTAGGGTATACTGACATCGATGACTCACTCCACTGTAGACCAATCGATAACGATTTATTGGAAGTGGGTGTACGGATAGCTGATGTGACTCACTTTGTTCGAAGTGTAGCAACGATTGATGAAGAGGCTGCGAGTAGAGGAACGACTGTTTGTTTGTGCGATTGAAGAATTGATATACTGCCAACTGTTCTGAGTAGCAGCCTGTGTTCATTAAAAGTAGCTGAAAAGCGCTGTTTGGCATAGACCACGACAAGCAATGCAGAAATTTTGAACAGAGAGGACCAGAAATCGCCGATTTGCTCTAACGCGGCATAGACTTATGAGAAGACTCAGGAGTTCATCGATGTTCCGAATTTAGATAATGACGTTACGGTCTCTTTGCGCGCTTTAATGAAGTTATTAAAAATCTCTGAACAAGACAAGAATGGCGAACGGTGCATTGACTGACGCTTGCTTCATCGGATGTGCGATTTTACATGGACTGGCGAACGAATCCTCCTAAAGCAGTTCAACAAGGAAAACACTTTTAACGTTTGTTCAATGGCGTCTTCGTATAGATTAAATTTTCAACTTGCTGCAACAATTCCCACCTCTTCAGAAGATCCTTCAATTGATAACACCAATTCACCATTGTTCCCATTCAAAAGCTACCGCTCTTCAGATTAAATCTGATCGTTGTCTTCAATAAGCACTTTTCGAACCGCCATCTCTCTAAGTTACGCTATGACCTAAAAAACGCGGTAAAATTTGTGTCGAAGCTATTGAAAACTATAAGTTGCTGCTTTCACGATTCATAACAAATTCGACCGAACTGGAGTATGGAAAGATTTTTAAGAAGTGAAAAAGCACTGTTCGCAAGTATAAATTAATCTTGAAATATGCATTGCCTTCAAAGTGAACACTGCTTTAACACGAACTCCCGCACTAGTTGTAAAATATGTTGTTTAGTACATTTATACGACGAACTATTGGTTTCAGCAAGAAGATTCCTGTTAATAGCGGCGATTTCACCACAATGGCTCCAGAAGTGAAGTGGACTCGCCTACTCACGCCTGAATCTGGTATGAACACTATGGGTCTTGCTCTACATGGCGTTCTCAGATACGATGCCCAGCCTTCACCGAAAAGTTGATATTTTCTTCCTTTTTTTTTAGATCTAACTTTTGACTTTTCGCTAATTTCGACGCTGACACTTCTTCCTCAAGACGACAAATCCTAATTTTATACCTTCTGAACTCCTAGAAGTGCACAAACTCTGCTACTGTTTTAAAAAGTATTTACAAATATAAAGGATAACGCTCTCGGCGTTGATCAATCCTTCAGCAATGCACAATGCATTAGACTTCATTAAGAATCGCTTGTAGGTGAGTGAATGCATATTTGGCCTTTACAATGACTCGTGGTGGCCTACCGATGCGTCGAGTCAATGCTGCTATCCTCCCAGACAAGTCTGTGGCAATTTGCCGACTCCGGAACGATGGAAGACTTGATTGACTAGAGGCGCGGGAATCGATCCTGTGTTTATTGCAGGGCTCCGACACTTGGACTACACACACCCATTTAAAAATATAGTGGTAAAAATTATTTTGAATGCGTAAATATGTCACCGCATCGACTAATGTCATCCAATGTACCGACTCTTTCTTGCACTATTTAAAACTCGCCAAGGCATTTAATCACATATGCCTCAATTGTTTTTTCATTGATACGTCTTCACGCTAATTTTGCCGAGAATAGAATGAAACACTTTGTCGGAAAGTCACTCAGCGAATGACGAAATCAATGAGCATGTTTGCTTCCAGATGTGGACTACTTGTTTCCAAAACAAGTAAAGGCAATCATCAGGCAATGCCTTCACTGGAACTCAACCCAACGGCCCAGTATGAATGAGATCTTCGCTAAAACGTACCCCATCAGCGGGAAAGTCGTGGAATCAAAGTATTGCCGTTGCATACTCTACTGATGTACTAAGTCTCCACGGCTGTTTCCCTATTCTTTTAAATCTAACGTATACTGACTGAGATTTGAACTTTTCGTGTAATGAATTGTTTGTTTTGTCGAGCACAAACTTTTCAAAGCTGAAGCGAAAGTGTGGATCGCATCTATTCCGTTGTGAACAGTGGAAAATGCTTTACATGGAGCTTGTCAATGGGCAAAGAATTGCATGGGTATCGGGAACCACGACCAATTCTCATAATATTTTACATAATCTGATCTTATTAAACCCCAAGAGAAGTCACTTGACTTTCTTCTTCATCTTAATTATTGCAAAAAAAAATTGTGCTTATGTAGAAATCTTAAAGGAACGATACTTCACAAAGGCGCTTTCTAACTTCACGAGCTCCGAAGGCTCTTTTCCATCAAAATCTACTTTTGTCTAAAAAAAGTGTGAATTCCATGTGAGGTATGATGTTTCGTGATAACTGCATGAAATGGGGCGCTATAAAAAGCCTAGTTATATGGAGCAGAGAGTATTCAAAGTATGAGAAACATAGGAGTCGCTATGGAAGCAAAGCGAAAGCCAAATTAGGGAATCGAAATCGCTACAAAAGAAGCGGTCCTTATTTAGAAAACACTGTGGTCGGTATGACCTTTATAGGTTTCACAGTGAAAGCGCAAAAAATTGGGCGTCGTTGCGTAATGAAAACTCATATCAGCCACTCAGTTTCGGGGCGAATCTCCTTCGTTTGCTTCAAACGGATTACAAACGCCCCAGTGGTGAAAGAGCTTCTTAATAATTAGTTCATAAGAAACCAAACCTTTCTCTACTTAACAAGGATCGACCCCGACTGCGATGATAACGTGCAACTCTGGGTCTGCGTATCACGCTAGCACAGAGAAGAGAAAGGGCGGCTCCAAAAAATAAAACAGAGGCTAAAAGATAAATTTTCTGCTATCTGCATGATCTTAATTAATGACGGTTGATGACGAATGGTGAGGGGGAACGAACCGAATGCAGAAAGTGGCGGAATAGGAAAGGGTAATGTGATGAAGAATTGGGTCCGATTCTCCTAAAACTACCTTGAGAACTTGCAGAAGAGCTGAACACTAATTATTCAGCAATCTCGGAAAATTTTTTGAAGAAAACGCTGGAAAAGAAACTTTAGACGGACATATCCTTTTCATCGCTGTCGTGTTTGCCTTGTAATCGAAGAAGGTAGTCTCGTAACAGCTTGAAAGGTCTACTTTCAATAGATCTCACATTAGCAATTATTTTATTAATAACAATAATGATAATAATAATAATAATAGCAGTGATAGTAATAATAGTAATAACAATAATGATAATAATAATAACAATAGTAATGATATGAGCAGTATATTAAAGCCAAGGGAAACTAGAAATATTAAAGGGCGCATGTGGCGCAGTGGTTCGAGGCGCCACTGCGACACATACATGGAATTGATCCCAGCTCCCATGGCTTACTAAGCCTTCCATCCCTCCGGGGTCGGCAAATTGGTACCAGACTTGTCTGGGAGGATAGCACCAAAATCGGTCACCGATGCTTCCACCTTAGACAGAAACGAAATGGCAAGACTTGGCATCAGTTGTTGTCCCATCGCCAACCTCCTTATTTGAGTGCAGTGCTTTCCGAACCATCTGAAGATTGGGCAACTTAAGCATTTTTTTAAGAGTGCTATCAACTGCTCTATCTTGAATCCATAAATGTTTGTTTTTTTTAGTGCTGTATAAGGAGTTCAAATATGGCTTGCATTGCGGAGTCATTCGACACGTTTGTACAAAGGCCGGTAACGTCGAAGGACTCCATCACGTGCTGGGCTGCGTAGTACGTAGACGATCCAGAAACATCTGGGTATTCGTAAAATGAACTGGAATGCGTTTCAAGAACTAGTTAAATATTAGGGTTAAAAACCACGTTATCCTATCCGTTGGCCCGTCTGCATTGTTAGGTCTAGCCTTAAATAATGATGGATCGGTGGACGCAAGATCATCGCTGGATACTAACTTATGAGTTTTTATACCCTTTACCCTTAATCTTCAGGTGTTCCAAAAAAGTACTACGCTCAAATGAAAGGGTTGGCAATGGGACTAGGGCTGGTACCAAGTCTTGCCATTGCGTTTATGTCTAAGGTGGAAGGACCGGTGACTGATCTCGGGCCACTACTCTACTGTAGAGACATAGATGACTGTTTTGTCCTTTGCTCAACACAAGAGGAAATAAACAAATGTTTTGAGTTGTTAAATGTACATTTAGAGTATATTAAGTTCGCTGAGAGAAATCGAAAAAAACTGGCTTCCATTCCCGAACGCCCAAATTCACCTGTCAGAAAATGGCTACATTGCGAAATGGTACCAAAAGCCAAATAGTAAAAACATCCTGGTTCATTACCTTTCCTCTCACCTCTCTCACACGAAAAGGGCGCTTGTAAAAACATGTTTCGAACAGCAACCAATGTGTGCACGGGAGGAGAGCAGAGAGCGGAGTCCAGGAACTTGGCGCGGCAAATGGCCATTACTAATGGCTGCGAAAGTGTAGCTCGGCATAGGTGTAGGGAAAGTCCTAGGTCCCCAAACGACAACTCTAGCGGTAGGAAGGTCTCGTTTATCCTACCCTTCATCTCAAATGATGTAAGTACAGCTATAAAATGCTGCGTAAGAAGGGCGGGTCTAGAGAATTCGGTAACGATAATTGAAATGCCACTGAGTAATCTAAGACGCCAGCTAGATCGTAACCGCTTTTACGACCGTCTATGTGCAATGCGAAATTGCATAATTTGCCCCAATGGTAAAGACGGTAACTGCGTGAGTTCGGGTACAGTCCATCTGATCTCTTGTAAAACCTGCGGGGACCAATGCGTTGGCGAAACGAGTAGACCCCTCTGCGTACGTATTAAAAAACATCTTGTCCGAAAACGTAAACCAAATACTCTACTAGGCACTCATAGGAGGCAGAGACATAACGGGGAGGATTTCGAAGTACGTGTCACGATCCCCACACAGGAACAGAGAACACAAGCGCGCAAAACTCTCGAAGCGTTGTGGATTAATTCCAGAATTCCGGAAATGAACCGCAAGGAGGAATGCCTCATTATCACACGTGATATTGGGCAGCATATGGGGCTGTTATTCTGATAGGAGGAGACATTACGCTTCCATGTGACTTTTCTGCGGTTGGTCTTTACGCGACATACTCAGTGGAAGCTGCATAGAAAGCGGTCAGTGTGCAAAGCTATGTTCAACGTGACTGAAATCTTGGTTCAGCATTTTCTCTGTTTGGTTATGGAGGTGTTTTGGCAGAATGGATTGCTGTCAAGTTGACCTTTCCAGGCTCTGAGGAAGGCGGAATCCGCCGAAACGTCAGATTATTCGTGAATAAAGAATAAAAATAACACCTCGCGTTTACTTAAAAAGAATACGAAGAATTTTAAGATTATTCCTAGCAAATTGCAATTAGTCCATTCAGTTACAGTAATTAATCTGAATACGAACTATCGAACACTAGCAGTAATCATCTTTTGATGCAAGCTCAGCCTTTTTTAAATGTTTACGAGCTCCATCTTTATCAAATTACTACACGAACGTCCTTAGCTTTTGAACAGGAACGACTTTCCATTGGTCACCGTAATACAATCCCGAGTTCTTGTTCAAGCGCAAAGAAGTGAAGTGGGCTTCGCTACCTTCACTGCTGATTGTTCTGTTCGTGCAACACTTGTTTACTGAGCTTTTCCTTGTTTACATCTTCAACATCTTTCCGATGACCAGAGATTGTTGAGTGTATGTCTCACGAACTGTCCTTGTTTAGCTAATGTGAGATTGTTATCCCTCCTTAAAAACGATAGTTGACGATTTTATTAAATGGCTAATTTAACTTTTCCAGTAAAGTTCTATAATTCTATTCTTCAGCTAGTTATGGTTGGTGTTTTAATTATAGTTCAAATAGTTCTATAAAAAAAGCTATTGGCATTCATCAATCCCTGAGGGATGCGCCATCCTTTCGACTTCATTAATTATTGTTGGAGATTATTAAATGCATATCTGGCCTTTGCAATTATTTGCGGTGGCCTAACAATGTATCAAGCCGGTAGCGCTATCCTCCCAGACAAGTCTGGTACCAATTTGCCGACCCCGGAGTGATGGAAGGCTTGGTTGGCCGTGGGCGCTGGTATCGA